GGGGGGGGGGGATGCTCAGCTTCACAAGGTATGTAAGGTACCCATAAGGAAATGCCAGAAAAATGCCAGCGATTCAATCAAGGAGGAAGTTTACGAACAAAAGCTCTTCGGCAAGGAAGATGGAGCAACAACACCCCCCTGTGGCCACAACCGATCACGGCCTCCAAGATGCCAAAGATGGGGGGAAAGCCTATATATACACCTCTATCTATGTACAGTTGTCTGTCTTCTCAGTGTATAACGGCATTGAATGTTTGCCGTATATGTGTTCTGTGATCCGTTCTTGAGTTCCCTTCAGGTTGAGAAGGGCGGAATGTAAATATCGTAAATAAATAAATTAATTAATTTTGTGCCTCAAACTGAATGAAGAAAATATGTCGGAGAAGAATACAGACAAAAATACAGACAAAAATAGCAAAGGGTTGCCTACTTTCAATTCAGTTTTGTGTTTGGAGGCCTTATTTCCACACACTCATATGGCTATTAGGGAATTATTATTATTATTATTATTATTATTATTATTATTATTGCGTTGTAGGTTTTTTCAGGCTATATGGCCACGGTCTAGAGGCATTTTCTCCTGACATTTCGCCTGCATCTATGGCAAGCATCCTCAGAGGTAGTGAGGTCTTTTGGAACTAGGAAAATGGGTTTATATATCTGTGATTTGTGTTTGGAACATGAAAGGCACTGCAGACTACTCCAACCAGAGAAGTCAGCCATAGCAGAGCACCTGATGAACCAGCCTGGACACAGCATATTATTTGAGAACACAGAAATGCTGGACCACACCAACAACCACCATGTCAGACTTCACAGAGAAGCCATTGAAATCCACAAGCATGTGGACAATTTCAACAGAAAGGAAGAGACCATGAAAATGAACAAAATTTGGCTACCAGTATTAAAAAACTCTAAAATTACAACAGCAAAACAGCAGAGAGGAAACAAACAAGGACATCCAAAAGTTTGTTCCAGGCACTGTCAGGCCATTATATGCTAATCAAGGTGGTCAGTTGAAACATTCACACCTAGCTCCAGCAGACAAGAGTGCTTTGTCCCACCCTGGTCATATATATATATATATATATATATATATATATATATAATAAAAGTGAAAATCTGTATGTTTGTATGTGGCATATAAGAGCACTCTGAACTGCACCAACAATAGACCTGGAACTCACTTGGCACACAGACCCACCATGGGCAATTGTCCATACTTGCAGAGTTTAGGGGTGATTACCCTGGGAGTTGTAGTTCACCCTTATCCAAAGAACAGTGAACCCAGCCAACAATGGATCTGGGCCAAACTTGCCACACAGAACCAACATGGCCAATTGTGCATACTGGCTGGGCTTGGGGGTGATTGCCCTGGGGATCTGGGAGTTGTAGTTCACCCTTATCTAAATATCACTGAACCCAGCAGCTGTCAGATCTGGACTAAACTTGACACACAGACACAACATGGCCAACTTTAAGTAATGGCAGGGTTTGGGAAGGACTGACCCACGATTCTGGAAATTGTAGTTCACCCACAACCTTATGCATTTTCTAATGGGACCATTCATTTTTTTAAAAACCCAAAAAAGTAAGACTGTTTTCCCCTAAGAAATAGCATTACACATTACCAAACTGATATTACCAAACTTCACAAAACAAACAATGCCTTTCTCAAATAACCCGGGCAGCGCCGGGTCCCCAAGCTAGTAATACATAAGATCTCAGTTCTGACTGAAACTGCAATGCAGGGTGAGGCAGCATAACTTCCTTTTTCAAAATGCGTGCCATTCAGTCGGTTGAAGACGTAGCGGAGCGCTAGTGGTCTTGTTCAAGAGGCGGGAGTATAAAGTTTTGTCCTGACACAGTTCAGTCGCCATCATGCGTTGGAACAGTGAGGAGCGTGCTTTTGCCGTTGAGGCCTACTTTTCGAGGGATTTGGAGTGGCCGGCCCGCTCTCCAGATTTGGCCCCTTGTGATTTTTTTCTATGGGGTTTTTTGAAATCCCGTGTTTATGTGAACCGTCCAAGGACCCTACAAGATGTGAAGACCAACATCCAGGAAGAAATTGCCAACATAACGCCTGCTATGCTGGCAAGAGTCAGGACAAACGCCAGAAATCTGTTTCCTCAGTGTATGGAGAATGGGGGACGTCACCTACCTAATTTGATCTTCAAAACTACGTAAAACAAAACTTTAGGTATGCGCCTATGTTATATAAATAAAAATTTCTGATTCATACAATGGGTTTTATTAAGTTTTGAAAAAAAGGAAGTTATGCTGCCTCACCCTGTAGTACCAAACCAGTTCTACCATTTGACCTTTGTGTGAATTCTTCGATGACAATCGAGGTGGGTCTTCTGATGGAATCTTTTCCCACACTACAGGCATTTAAAGGGCTTCTCTCTGGTGTGAGTTGCTTGGTGATAAGTGAGTTTTGTCTTCTGACTGAAGCTCTTCCCGCACTCCAAGCACTTGAATGGCTTCTCCCCGCTATGAGTCATTTGATGAAGAGTGAGGTTTGCCTTCCGACTGAAGCTTTTCTCACATTCAACACATTTAAACAGCTTCTCGCCAGTGTGTGTCGCTTGATGAAAAGTGAACTTGAGCTCCTGGCTGAAACTTTTCCCACACTCGAGGCATTTGAACCGCTTCTCCCCTGTGTGAGTCGCTTGGTGTGAAGTCAGGTTTCCCTTCTGACTGAAGCTCTTCCCACACTCCAAGCACTTGAATGGCTTCTCTCCGCTATGAGTCCTTTGATGAAGAATGAGGATTGACTTCTGGCTGAAGCTTCTCCCACACTGCAAGCAACTAAAGGGTTTCTCCCCAGTGTGAGTCAATTGGTGACGAATGAAGTGTGCCTTCTGACTGAAGCTTTTCCCACACTCGCATTTGAACTGCCTCTCCCCCGTGTGAATCCCTTGATGAGAAGTCAGGTTTGTCTTCCGGCTGAAGCTCTTCCCGCACTCCAAGCACTTGAATGGCTTCTCTCCGCTATGAGTCCTTTGATGAAAAGTGAGGCTTGCTTTCTCGCTGAAGCTTTTCCCACACTGCAAGCACTTAAAGGGTTTCTCCCCAGTGTGAGTCGCTTGGTGACAAAAGAGGTTTCTCTTCCAACTGAAGCTTTTCCCACACTCGAGGCATTTGAACCGCTTCTCCCCCGTGTGAATCACTTGATGAGAAATCAGGTTTGCCTTCCGACTGAAGCTTTTCTCACATTCAACACATTTAAACAGTTTCTCGCCAGTGTGTGTCGCTTGATGAAAAGTGAACTTGAGCTCCTGGCTGAAACTTTTCCCACACTCGAGGCATTTGAACCGCTTCTCCCCTGTGTGAGTCGCTTGGTGTGAAGTCAGGTTTCCCTTCTGACTGAAGCTCTTCCCACACTCCAAGCACTTGAATGGCTTCTCTCCGCTATGAGTCCTTTGATGAAGAATGAGGATTGACTTCTGGCTGAAGCTTCTCCCACACTGCAAACAACTAAAGGGTTTCTCCCCAGTGTGAGTCAATTGGTGACGAATGAAGTGTGCCTTCTGACTGAAGCTTTTCCCACACTCGCATTTGAACCGCCTCTCCCCCGTGTGAATCCCTTGATGAGAAGTCAGGTTTGTCTTCCGGCTGAAGCTCTTCCCGCACTCCAAGCACTTGAATGGCTTCTCTCCGCTATGAGTCCTTTGATGAAAAGTGAGGCTTGCTTTCTCGCTGAAGCTTTTCCCACACTGCAAGCACTTAAAGGGTTTCTCCCCGGTGTGAGTCGCTTGGTGACGAAAGAGGTTTCTCTTCCAACTGAAGCTTTTCCCACACTCGAGGCATTTGAACCGCTTCTCCCCCGTGTGAATCACTTGATGAGAAGTCAGGTTTGTCTTCTGGCTGAAGCTTTTCCCACACTGCAAGCACTTAAAGGGTTTCTCCCCGGTGTGAATCGCTTGGTGATGAACGAGGTTTCTCTTTCGACTGAAGCTCTTCCCACACTTGAGGCATGTAAACGGTTTCTCCCCGGTGTGAGTCGCTTGGTGGAGAGTGAGACTTATCTTCCAACTGAAGCTTTGCCCACACTCCGAGCATTTAAACAGCTTCTCCCCGGTGTGAGTGGCTTGGTGATAAGTGAGGCTTTCCTTCCGAATGAAGGTCTTTCCACACTCAAAACATCTGAACGGCTTCTCCTCTTTGTGAATGACTTGGTGACGAATGAGGGTCGTTTTCCGACTGAAGGCTTTCCCACACTCAGCGCATTGATAGAGTTTCTCCCCAGTGTGAGTTTTTTGATGACAGAAGAGGCTTCTTTCATGATAGAAACCTTTTCCACACTCCAAGCATTTAAACAGCTTCTCCCCTGTGTGAGTGGCTTGGTGACGCTTGAGGTTTGTTTTCCGAGTGAAGGCTTTCCCACACTCAGAGCATTTATAGAGTTTCTCCTCAGTGTGAGTTCTTTGATGACAGAGGAGGCTTCTTTCACGATTGAAGCTTTCCCCACACTCTGAGCATTTAAACAGCTTCTCCCTTGTGTGAGTGGCTTGGTGACGAATGAGGTTTCCCTTCCGATTGAAGGTCAGTCCACACTCAAAACATCTGAACGGCTTGTCCCCTGTGTGAGTAGTTTGGTGACAAATGAGGGTAATTTTACGACTGAAGGCTTTCCCACACTCAGGGCATTTATAGAGTTTCTCCCCGGTGTGCGTTCTTTGATGACAGAGGAGGCTTATTTCATGATAGAAGCTTTTCCCACACTCCAAGCATTTAAACAGCTTCTCCCCTGTGTGAGTGGCTTGGTGACGAATGAGGTTCGTTTTCCAACTGAAGGTTTTTCCACACTTAGGGCATTTATAGAGTTTCTCCCCGGTGTGAGTTCTTTGATGAGAAGCAAAATTCATCTTGCCACTGAAGGCCTTCCCGCATTCCAAGCATTCAAATGGTTTCTCCCTTCTGTGGACTGCTTGGTGACGACTGAGATTCACCTTCCAACTGAAGCTCTTTCCACACTCCAAACATTTAAATGGCTTGCCTTCTACATGAGCCTCCTGGTGTGGTATCAGTTGTGACCTCCACCTGAATCTCCTTCCACATCTCAGGCACTTGAATGGTTTTTCTCCTGTGTGAGTCCTTCTATATGAAGTCAAACTGGATGTCTTCCCACATTCACTACTTTTGGAAGAGTTGTCCCTTGTGTGAACTCTCCTGTGAAGATTCAGGCTTGTTTTACATCTAAAGCTCCTCCCACATACAAGACAAAGGTGTCTCTCCCTTCCTTTCTGTGCTATTTCTTCAAGGGAGGTTTCACAGACCTCACCACTCTGGGAAATAATCTTCCACCTCTTTGGAGGGTCAGATTTTATTCGATTCTCATTCTTCTGTTTACAGCGGACACTTTGCAGAAATGCTCTGTGCGGTTCTCCTTCCTTCTCACTCAGCTGGTCGCTTCCACCTGGAAAAGAGCAACACAACTGCTCAGAGCCTAAAATTGAAAAAGGGGACACACAACTGGCAAACCGCAACTGGCATCAAACTGAGGAAGCTACGTGAGAGAGAGATGGGACTCCATGGTTTCTCTCCATTACCTCAATTGAAGAGGAATTTCCTTTCCTCGGCATTTATGGAGAAAATTAGAAATCTGTGCAGTACTAGTGAATCAAGTGTTTAACTTTACTGAAAGAAATACATTTGTATCTCACACTTAGAAAGGGAGGTAGCACAAGATGCAGAGCCAACCTTAAGAAATGGGTCCACAGAGTTGAATCCACAACATGCGAGTGTGGAGAAGATAAAACCACAGGCCATGTATTACAATGCAGCCTGAGCCCTGCCACATGCACAATGGAGAACCTCTTTACAGCAACGCCAGAGGCACTCTGAAGTGGCCAGCTTCTGGTCAAAGGACATTTAGTATAATGCCAAGTTTTTAACTGTGTGGTTTTTCTATACATTCTTCCCTTCCACGCTTTTGTCTTTCCTTCCATCACTGGGCAGCCAGTCCTCCTAGCAGGGATTGCTAGCATGCGGCCCCCAAGTTAGAAAGTTGACCCAGGCCTGAACAATACTGTGATCTTAACCAAGATATAACTGTGAACAGCTTCCTGGGACAAGAGAGTCAGAAACCAGCACACTTCCAGATGGGAAAACTGTAAGCCACCCAGAGTCCCCCTCCGGGCATGAGAAGCATGAGGTATAAATGCTCGGAAATAAAAATAAAGAGAACCGAGAAGGGATTTTCTTTCTTCAGTATTATAAACGGATTTGATCAACCAAAAGAAAGATGAAGCCTTACCCAGGGAGGACACAAGCTCCCAATTCTCCTCCATCACCTCTCTGTGAAGGACTCTTTGGCCGGGGTCCAGCAGGGCAAACTCCTCTTCGGAAAAATCCACAGCTACATCTTGGAAGGTTACCTAATGAAAGACCAATCACCCACAAGCTGAACATGCAAACCCCGAGTCAGAAAAGAGAAGAATGTAGTTTGGGATTCCCCCCCCCCCCCCCCCCGCACAGTACAATACAATACAAAACTTTATTAGGGTCACTGACCAGCACAAACCCCCACACAGTAACATTTGCAATGCCTTCGGTGGGCAACTTTGATGGAATCAAAGGAAAAGAAATACAGGGTGAGGCAGCATAACTTCCTTTTTTAAAATGTGCGCCCTTCAGTCGGTTGAAGACATAGCGGAGCTCTAGTGGTCTCATTCGAGAGGCGGGAGTATAAAGTTTTGTTCTGACACAGTTCAGTCGCCATCATGCATTGGAACAGTGAGGAGTGTGCTTTTGCTGTTGAGGCCTACTTTTTGAGCGGATTTGGAGTGGCCGTCCCGCTCTCCAGATTTGGCCCCTTGTGATTTTTTTCTATGGTTTTTTTTTTTTTTTGAAATCCTGTGTTTATGTCTCTAAAATTACAATAGCAAAACAACAGAGGGGAAACAATCAAGGACATCTAATCACCTCTCGACAAAAGATTGCCCCAGGCACTGCCAGGCCATCAAATGCTAATCAAGGTGGTCAGTTGAAACATTCACACCTAGCTCCAGCAGACAAGAGTCCTTTGTCCCCCCCTGGTCATTCCACAGATATATAAACCCTTTTCCTAGTTCCAACAGACCTCACTACCTCTGAGGATGCTTGCCATAGATGCAGGCAAAACGTCAGGAGAGAATGCCTCTAGAACATGGCCATATAGCCTGAAAAAACCTACAACAACCCAATAGTTAAAACACTCCACAGAACCCCCGGCTCAGTCTTAGAAAACGTTCTTATGTTGTTTTAACATATTTCTAATCTTGAATCCAATATGGAGGGTGCAAAAGAGGAGACTAGTGATGATTATTGCCCTTCCTTCCAACCTGCTCTTCCTTTGGCCCACCAGAGATCCCAATCCTTACCTCGACCTGTCTTGCAGAAGGTGTTCTCAAACCATACTGAAAAGATGTGCTTGGACATATAAGCTGGGTCCTCATTCCACCTCCTGCGAGAACAGACAGGGGGAAAGAGAGCATTATTTCTCATTCAAGTCTTTTCATTCACACACGTAAAATACTTTAGTAGGAAGGGGCCTCATGGCCACCAAGTCCAACTCCTTGTTCATTGCAGGATCTCCAGATAGAGCAGCGTTTCTCAAACTAGGGGTCGGGACCACTTGGGTGGTTGCGAGGGGATTTCATAGAGTCATAGAATCAAAGAGTTGGAAGAGACCTCATGGGCCATCCAGTCCAACCCTCTGCCAAGAAGCAGGAATATTGCATTCAAATCACCCCTGACAGATGGTCATCCAGCCTCTCTTTAAAAGCTTCCAAAGAAGGAGTCTCCACCACATTCCGGGACAGAGAGTTCCACTGCTGAACGGCTCTCACTGTCTGGAAGTTCTTCCTCATGTTCAGATGGAATCTCCTTTCTTGTAGTTTGAAGCCATTGTTTCGTGTCCTAGTCTCCAGGGAAGCAGAAAACAAGCTTGCTCCCTTCTCCCTGTGGCTTCCTCTCACATATTTATATATGGGATTTCAGAAGGGTCGCAAAATACCCTCAGAAACCATGTATTTCTGATGGTCTTAGGAACCCCTTTGGCAGAGAAGGCTGAAGATCTCTATGTCTGTCCTCTTCCTTTTTGGAAACAGACTGCGAATTCTCCCAGCAAAAGCCTTCTCCTGCTGTGATTGGCTGGTCTGTCAGCCGAGGGGAGGACTGTTTCTGAGACTCCAAGCGGGGAGGGGAGAGCAGGCATGCTTGGCACATGGCAGTGTGGTGCACATGTGCGGGCGAGGGAGAGCACGCAAAGCTGGAGGGAGGCTCATGCAAGCGAGTCCGTTCAAGGCATGGGGGTTCTGTGTGGGAAGTTTGGCCCAATTCTATCATTGGTGGGGTTCAAAATACCCTTTGATTGTAAGTGAACTATAAATCTCAGGAACTAAAACTCCCAAATGTCAAGGTCTATTTTCCCCAAACTCCACTAGTGTTCACATTCGGCATACTGAGTATTCGTGGCAGGTTTGGTCCAGATCTTTCATTGTTTGAGTCCATAGTGCTCTCTGGATGTAGGTGAACTACAACTCCAAAACTCAAGGTCAATGCCCACTAAACCCTTCCAGTATTTTCTGTTGGTAATGGAAGTTCTGGGTGCCAAGTTTGGTTCAATTCCATCACTGATGGAGTTCAGAATGCTTTTGATTATAGGTGAACTATAAATCCCAGCAACTACAAATGACAAAATCAATCCTCCCCCAACCCCACTAGTATCTAAATTTGGGCATATTGAGTATTTGGTCCAGTGAATGAAAATACATCCTGCATATCAGATATTTGCATTATGATTCATAAAAGTAGCAAAATTACAGTTATGAAGCAGCAACGCAAATAATTTTATGATTGGGTGTCACCTCAACATGAGGAACTGTATTAAGGGGTCCCGGCATTAGGAAGGGTGAGAAACACTGAGCCAGAGCACCCATTGCACGGAGATGCCCAGCATTTTCTTGAAGACATTCAGAATAGGAGACCCTGCTGTCTGATGTTCAACCAAAGTCTACCCTCCTGTAACTTCAAACCATGGTTTTGTCTTCCCGAGCAGTAGGAAGCAGGTCTGCACTCTCCTCTTTGGGGTATTTAAAGGGTTCAAATATTATTATTATTATTATTATTATTACAACAGCAGCAGCAACAACAACAACAACAATAAAACTACTCTGGGACTTCCAGATTCAGACTGAAGGAATTTTGGAGCACAATACTCCTGACCTCCCGACCGGGGGAAAACCAAACAAGTTTGGATCATTGATGTTGCAATCCCAGGTGACAGCAGGATTGACGAGCAGCAACTAGAAAAGCTTACATGATATGAGGATATATAGATTGATTGGCACATTGGGTGCAGTGCCTAAAGTCCTTGGCCTGCACTTAAAACCTATCGGCACTGACAAAATTACCACCTGCCAGCTGAAAAAGCCCCCCCCCCCCCTACTCAGATCTGCACGCATTATTTGCCGATACATCACACAGTCCTAGACACTTGGGAAGTTTCAGACGTGTGATCAAATACAAAAGCTATCATAGTGATCTTGTTTGCTGTGTACTTATCTTGTTATATATCATACAATAATAATCCTCACTACCTCTGAGGATGCTTGCCATAGATGCAGGCGAAACGTCAGGAGAGAATGCCTCTAGAACATGGCCATATAGCCCAAAAAGACCTACAACAACCCAATAATAATTTTATTTCTTACCCACCTCTCCTCATGGCTCGAGGCGGGTTATAGAATAATTAAAACATATACACATATTAAAATGTATTTCTATAAAATACATATTAAAACAGAGATTGAATAAATAATAAACAAATAAATTTCTTGTATTTCGCCCTATCTCCCCAAGGGACACAAGTCTAAAATTCAATTAATTTGTATTAGTGGCCTTGTCTACCGGTAATACTTTATTTAAAATTCACTTGGCAGTTTGAACCTGGGGCCAAGGTAGGAAGACTGAGAACAGACTTAATAACCAGAGGGGAAGATACGCATCACACTTGCAGACGTGGATTTTCTTTAATTCTGTGCCATATAACCCTTCAGAATTCGGTTGCTCTCGGCCTTGCCCTGGAAAGGGGCACCCCAAGCTCTCGCGGCATGGATCCTGTGATAAGAAATTTGAATCGTCTGGCGAGAATTAATTTGGGAGAGCAATAAGGCTGTAAGGCTAGGCCATATGGGTGCAAGGGCTGCCACATTTGTGTGCTGTGCATCATCTGCTGCATCACTGACCACTTTATAAAGCTTATGCTGCAGAAGAATGTGGGGATAGTAGTTCAGCAACGGGGCTTTAAGCTGCTCAGACAGAGAGGTCCTGGGCCTCATTAATTTATTACTGCGCTTGTATACCGCCGTTTCTCAGCCTACATTGGCGACTCAACGGGGTTTACAACATTACATTAAACAACCCCAGAAATCCCAGAATTCTGCAGGAAGGAGGCAGCCAAAGGATTTCCAGTGGGTAGTTCCCCTAGTGTGATGTGGTCCCCTTTCTGTCAGTCTGTCTGGGATGAGGATGCCAAACCACCACAAACATATGGAATGCCCAAGGGCTAGAGAAGACACGTTTGTAGTATGAAAGGACTGCAAAGCACACAACTCAACTATTTTGGGCAGACCCAGGAGGAATCCTTACCCACTGAGGTGAATGCTCTGTCACCATCTTCAAAGGCCCACTCACTCTTCACCTCAGCCACCTCTTTCACAAAGATGTTCTGGACCGAGGACAGGAAAGAAAAAAAAAGAAAATTAGGACAAAGTCTGGTGGACTATTTTGCATATATATTTATTTATTACGGTCGATGACTAGCACCACATCACTTTGCATGACTTCCAGAAAAAGGAGGAAAGCAGTGCGGAGTTTTCACATACTAATATACCTCATTGAATGTTTCTATGCAACATGGGAAGAGCCTGGGATGTGCTCTTGACACCACAGCCCCCCGGAGCTCAGGACCACTTCATTTGGGACTTGAGGGGAGAGCCATGGGACTAGTGCTGAGCCAAAGCCAGAGGTTTAGCACAGGGCCGGAGGTTTAGCACAGCTGGTAAATCACCAGCAATTTTAAGATCAACCCAAAGGTTGCAAGTTCGAAGCCCTGAGTTGGCGTGAGCTGCCAACTGTCAGCCTAGCTCATTGTTTACCTAAGCAATTCAAAAACAACTTTAGCTGTGATTAGAGAAATTAGGTACCGCTAAAAGCGGGGGAGGTGTTTTGACGCCATAAAGAAAGAAGATCAGAAAATGCTGGGCAACCAAAAGGAAGGAGGAAGTCCTGACAGCTCTTCGTCATAGAGGATGGAGCAACAGGACCCCCTGGACTCAAGCCCATCCTTCCATGGCACCTCCTGTTCTGTTCTGTCTGTGTATTGTCTATACAAAGCGGCATTGAATGTTTGCCGTGTATGTGTACTGTGATCTGCCCTGAGTCCGGAATAGAGTGTGTGTGGATGCTATTGTGTGTTTTGTTTGCCAGTGGAGAGTCATTTTGTGCATGCACTGTAGCATCTTTTTGGCGTTTGCTGTTGCTTTTTAAGTCCCTTCCACTGTGTTTTTCAGTGTTTTTATGAGTGATGGTTACTCGTTGGCCTGATAGGTGTTTTGAGTCCAAATTTGGTGTCAATTCGTCCAGTGGTTTTTGAGTTATGTTAATCCCACAAACAAACATTATATTTTTATTTATATAGACTAGCTGTCCCCTGCCATGCATTGCTGTGGCCCAATCTATGTGTTTTGTGTGTATATATATATATACGTATATGTGTGTGTATATATTTGTGTATATGTGAATATATGTATGCTTCTGGTTTTGCTTGATCCCATAACCAGGGTTAACTAGGGTTTAAGCGTCTTCCGGAAGGTCATGAGGGAGGGGAGCAGATCTGATCTCATTAGGGAGCTGAGGGACCACCACCGAGAAGGCCCTGTCTCTCGTTCCCACCAAGCGTGACTGTGATAGTGGTGGGACTGAGAGCACGGCCTCTCATGACAATCTTAAGGTCCTTGGGGGTTCGTAGAGGGAGATATGTTTGGACAGGTAAGCTGGGCTGTATCCTTGCAAATAAATATATCTCGGTTGTAGTATGATAGCTGGGTGCGGAAGCTCTGAGCGTTATGCACATTCCACAACGGCAGTGTATGGAGAATGGGGGACGTCACCTACCTAATTTGATCTTCAAAAATACGTAAAACAAAACTTTAGGTATGCACCTACATTATAAAAAAATAATTAAAAAATCTGGTTCATACATTGGGTTTTATTAAGTTTTGAAAAAAGGAAGTTATGCTGCCTCACCCTGTATACATGGCCCTCATCATGTCTCCTCTCAGACTTCTCTTCTTCATGCTAAACATGCCCAGCTCTTTAAGCCGCTCCTCATAGGGCTTGTTCTCCAGACCCTTGATCATTTGAATCACCCTCCTCTGGACACATTCCAGCTTAGAGTCAACATCTCTCTTCAATTGTGGTGCCCAGAAGCATACTATTACCCTTTTACCTATATCTCACCTTCTGAAATCCACTCACCTGCTGATTTCCGAATTTCTCCCCTTGGGCCCGGCTCAGGAGGCATCCTTCAGCCAAGGCCACAGCCTGGGAGCTGGTCTCTGCCCCACATTCTCTGACCCAGCGCTCCATCTCCTCCAAAGAATCCCCCTCTGTGCTGAGCCTGGACAAGGCCAGGCCCTTCTCCCAACTCTGAGGCCTGAAGGCTGGGAAAGAAGGAAGGCAGCCTCTCCTCCCTCCCCTGAAGGGTTAAAACTGAAGGAGAGGGATTCCTAGAGGGGAAGGAGGAAGTCCAGAGCCCAGGCACTTCCGGCCAGGGGTGTTGTGGGCGGGGCTTCCGCTGCAGGGCTCCTCCAAGGGGTTGGCGAGGGGCGGGGCCGGAAGTGGAGGGTGGGAGGGGGAGGAATGTCTCCTGGAAACAGGCGTTGACGTCTGCGGGGCTTTGAAGCTGAGGCCTTGCCTTGGAGGCTCCTCTCAGGACTTGACAGGTAGTGCTGATGGGGAGGGATGCTGCTGGGGAGGGGCTGGGCCAGGAGGAAGAGGAGCAGGGCCTCCACCAAGTAGGCTCAGGCAGCAGAGAGTGGGGGGCAGCCCCAAAGAGCCCTTCTCTTGTGGAGGGAGGAGGGGGCCAAGGGGCCCTGCCTTCAGTGGATGCTCCCTCTGCAGGGTCAGGATAAGGAGGCCTCTTGGGCCTTGTCTTAAGCCACCAAAACATCTTGATTGGGATCTATGGGGCCTGCAGGGGGGAAGCATTGCAATAACTACAAGCAAAAGGGACACTGGGTTGCTGTGAGTTTTCCAGGCTGTCTGGCCATGTTCCAGAAGCATTATCTCCTGACGTTTCGCCCACATCTATGGCAGGCATCCTCAGAGGTTGCCCGGCCCTCTGTTTAAAAAGTTTGAGGACCCCTGCTCTATACACATAGATTTTTTTTCTCCCTAACACTGACAATTTTGGGTTGTTGTAGGTTGTTTTTGGGCTATATGGCCATGGTCTAGAGGCATTCTCTCCTGACATTTCGCCTGCATCTATGGCAAGCATCCTCAGAGGTAGTGAGGTCTGTTGGAACTAGGAAAAAGGGTTTATATATCTGTGGAATGACCAGGGTGGGACAAAGGACTCTTGTCTGTTGAAGGTAGGTGTGAATGTTTCAACTGACCACCAAACGCAGGGACCATCAAACTCAGCATTGTCCAAACACGAATCAAGGAACATGAAAGGCACTGCAGACTATTTATATTTATCGTGTCATCAGCAACCATACCATTGTGTTACAATTCTAACAGAACAAAACAAACACACAGATTAAAAAGAAAAAGAAAGAAAAAACACACAGATTTTGCAAACTTGGTAGTTGGTTAAATGTCCTTTGACCAGTATCTGGCCACTTGGAGTGCCTCTGGTGTTGCCGCAAGAAGGTCCTCCATTGTGCATGTGGCAGGGCTCAGGTTGCATTGCAGCAGGTGGTCAGACTACTTCAACCAGAGACTACTTCAACCTACTTCAACCTGCAGACTACTTCAACCAGAGAAATCAGCCATAGCAGAGCACCTGATGAACCAACCTGGACACACCATTTTATTTGAGAACACAGAAATGCTGGACCACTCTCACAACCACCATGTCAAACGACACAGAGAAGCCATTGAAATACACAAGCAGGTGGACAATTTCAACAGAAAGGAGGAAACCATGAAAATGAACAAAATCTGGCTACCAGTATTAAAAAAACAACAACATTATTATTACTATTATTTCATATATTTATATTCCGCCCTTCTCCCCACAAGGGGGACTCAGCGCGGCCTCACATTCAACAGAAAGGAAGAAACCATGAAAATGAACAAAATCTGGCTACCAGTATTAAAAAAACTCTAAAATTACAACAGCAAAACAACAGGAAACAATCAAGGACATCTAATCACCTTTCAACAAAAGATTGCCCCAGGCACTGCCAGGCCATCAAATGCTAATCAAGGTGGTCAGTTGATACATTCACACCTAGCTCCAACAGACCAGAGTCCTTTGTCCCACCCTGGTCATTCCACAGTTATATAACATTCCATTTTCCTAGTTCCAACAGACCTCACTACCTCTGAGGATGCTTGCCATATGCAGGCGAAACGTCAGGAGAGAATGCCTCTAGAACATGGCCATATAGCCCGAAAAACTACTACAACCGAGTGATTTCATGTGCCAGTAAAACCAAGCCGAGCCAGGAGAATCCATGTCGCAAAAATCCAAATTTCATTTTCCTATTGCCACTGGCCTCTAATCGAATGCCTGGCCCCAGAGCCAAGTCTTCAGTTGTTTTCTAAAGGACAGGAGGGAGGTGGCCAACCTGATATCCTTAGGGAGAGAGTTCCACAGATGGGGGGCCACTGCCGAGAAGGCCCTGTCTCTCGTCCCTACCAACCGCATTTGCGAGAGTGGTGGGATCAAGAGCAGGGCCTCTCCTGATGATCTTAAGCTTCGTGATGGTTCATAGCAGGAGATACGTTTGGACAGGTAATCTGGCCAGAACCGTTCAGGACTTTAAAGGTTAAAACCAAACAGTTGTATTGTATTTTTTAACTAACAAACAAAGCACAAAGTTTGCAAGCTTGGTAGTTTGATTAAATGTCCTTTGACCAGTAGCTGGCCACTTGGAATGCCTCTGGTGTTACTATAAGTAGGTCCTACATTGTGCATGTAGCAGGGCTCAGGTTGCATTGCAGCAAGTTGTCTGTAGTTTGCTCTTCTCCACACTCGCGTGTCATGGAGCCCCATTTCTTAAGGTTGGCTCTGCATTCAGTGCTAATGGCTTACTGCAAACATCATGCCATGAAAGCCTTCAACAATATAATATATTGTATGCATATATACCTTGTAAGCTGCTCTGAGTCCCCTTCGGGGTGAGAAGGGCGGCATATAAATGTCGTAAATAAATAAGTATTGCAATAACCACAGTCACCACCATCTGACCTAAACAATTAAGTTTAAGAATGCAGAGGATTCAGAGATATAAACAAACTAAGAGGAGGGATATGCAGTATGGAACAACTGAGAGGAGCCTGACTTTGATCTGTGAGAAATTTAGGACCCTTTCCTTGAGTCCAGGTTTTTGCCCTCTATCCATATCGAGGAGACAGCCAACTATTAGACATTCATGGTGAAACATTCTACACTGTCCCTATATCCCAGGATCTGATCCCAGATTATCTGCTTATCTCAGATTATATGGCAGTGGAGACTCATATAATCCAGTTCAAAGCAGATAATCTGGGGTCCAATCCTGGGAGATAGGGCAGTGTAAATCCAGCCTAAGTTTGAGAATGCAGGGGATTCACAAAATAAGAGGGATTTGAGTGTGAGAACAATTGAGAGGAGCCTGACTTTGATCTGTGAGACATTTAGGACCCTTTCCTTGACTCCGGGTTTTTGCCCTCTATCCATAACAAGAAGCCAGCCATCTATTAGATATTCATGTTCAAACATTTATCCTGCCCAAAAGGAGTCTCATTATCATCTTGTTTTCTTTTTTCAGGCCCTTTCAGTGTTTTCAATCCTTGCCTTTGGATACACTCTTCATCCACTTTGGAGGCACCTGAGAAGCACTGAGCAAAGATGGAAAGGCAAGAGCCAGCTGGTTCCCAGTTAGAAACATTTTCTGCTATTGAGACAGAGAGTGGTGGAGTATTCTGGGGGGATCCTTGGAAGCAAAATCTCGAAAACAGTCTGCTCCATTCAGAACTTCAGAGCCTACTCTTCCGGTGCTTCCGCTATGAGGAAGCCGAGGGGCCCCGGGAGGTTTGCAGCCGCCTCCACTTTCTGTGCCGCCTGTGGCTGAAGCCCGAACGACACTCCAAGGCGGAGATGCTGGATCTGGTGATCCTGGAGCAGTTCCTGAGCATCCTGCCTCCAGAGATGGAGCGCTGGGTGAGGGAATGTGGGGCAGAAACCAGTTCCCAGGCAGTGGCCTTGGCTGAAGGATTCCTTCTGAGTCAGAAAGAGGAGAAGAAGCGGGAGAAGCCCCAGGTGTGTGAGAGAAATTCATCTTGTATTGTCGAAGGCTTTCATGGCCGGAATCACTGGGTTGTTGTAGCTTTTTTCGGGCTGTATGGCCATGGTCTAGAAGCGTTCTCTCCTGACGTTTCGCCTGCATCTATGGCAAGCATCCTCAGAGGTTGTGAGAAACTAGGAAAATGAGGTTCATATATCTGTGTGTGAGAGAGATTCATCTTATAGTTTCAAGGAGTCAGGAATAATTGTTTGAAAGCATAATATCCACTTGTTATGGATATTGTTCAACTAACTCAGAAAAATAGGAGATTGCTATTATATACTTCTGACAATTCCAGTGATCTGTATTTTGGATGACCTCTAAATGTATTGTCGAAGGCTTTCATGGCCAGAATCACTGGTTGTTGTAGGTTCTAGAGAACATGGCCATATAGCCTGAAAAAACCTACAACAACCCAGACCTCTGAATATTATTTGCCTAAAAAATCTGTATGTAATTGATGGGTAGAAGCTCCTTCTTTGGAAGCTTTTAAACAGAGGCTGGATTGCTATCTGTCAGGGATGCTTTGATTGTGCTTTTCCTGCATGACAGTGTTGAACTACATCGCCCATGTGGTCTTTTCGAATTATATGAGTCAGCAGGGACCTGAAAGCACAATATACAGACTTGATTTTCTCAGCCTGAGAGCCCCTCTAGGAGCGGCCCAAATTACAATCCCAGGATTATTTAACGTACTTCTTTAATCTCAGCGATAGCCCTTCCCCCTCAGAATTACTTATTTATTTACGATATTTATAGCCCGCCTTTCTCAGCCATATGGCGACTCAAGGCGGGTTACAGGTTGGCACAATTCAATGCCATGCATTCATAAAAAAGCAATTAAAAACAATCAACATAACAATATAAAGGCAAGAAAACATGTTTCTGGTGTAATCCTGTTAAAATCAATTTCCTGTAACATCGTCTAGCCATTACAAGTTCATCATTCATAGTTTCATGTTATCTATTCTGCTGTATTCTCAAAAGCTTGTTCAAAAAGCCAAGTTTTCATCTTCTTTCGGAAAGCCAGGAGGGAGGGGGTTCCATACCTGGGGGGCCACCACTGATAAGGCCCTGTCCCTCATCCCCGCCAATCGCGCTTGCAATGGCATGTGGGATCGAGAACAGGGCCTCCCCAGACGATCTTAAGCTCCTAGATCAGTGGTTCTCAACCTGTGGGTCCCCAGATGTTTTGGCCTTCAACTCCCAGAAATCCTAACAGCTGGTAAACTGGCTGGGATTTCTGGGAGTTGTAGCCAAAACACCTGGGGACCCACAGGTTGAGAACCACTGCCAAAGAGGCATTCTGTCTCTTGTTCTCTATTAATGTAGCACAGTGGTTCTCAACCTGGGGTCCCCAGATGTTTTTGGCCTACAACTCCCAGAAATCCCAGCAGTTTACCAGCTGTTAGGATTTCTGGGAGTTGCCAAACATCTGGGGACCCACAGGTTGAGAACCACTGGTTTAAGGCTTTATAGTCCAAAGCCAGCACTTTGAATTGTGCAGATGACACCAGCTGTTTTAACAGGCAGGGTTGTATGCTCCCTACCAAAACTAACAAAAGAGTAATGGAATCATAAAGTTGAAAGAGACCAAAAGGCCATCTAGTCCAACCCCCTACCATGCAGGAAAAGCACAACCAAAGTGACAGAGGGCATCCAGCCTATGTTTAAAAACCTCAAAGGAAGGAGCTTCCACCACACTCCAAGGTAGAGAGTTTCACTGCTGAAGAGCTGTTCTTACAGTCAGGAAGTTCTTCCTAATGTTTAGATGCTACCTCCTTTCCTGTAATTGGTGCCCATGGCTCCGAGTCATAGTCTCCAAGGCAGCAAAAACAAGGTATTGTCGAAGGCTTTCATGGCCGGAATCACTGGGTTGTTGTAGGTTTTTTCGGGCTATATGGCCATGGTCTAGAGGCATTCTCTCCTGGCGTTTCGCCTGCATCTATGGCAAGCATCCTCAGAGGTAGTTGTCATAGATGCAGGCGAAACGTCAGAGAGAATGCCTCTAGACCATGGCCATATAGCCCGAAAAAACCTACAACAACCCAGCAGAAATCAAGCCTTCTCCCTCTTCTTTATGACACCCTTTCATATATTTATACATGGCGACCATGTCTCCTTTCAGTCTTCTCTTCTGCAGGCTAAACATACCTTGTTTACATTTGGCTTTGTTTGTTGTCCAAGTTATATTTAATTATTTCATTTCCTATTTTGCTTGGTTTGTTGCTTATCTGTTCTTTGGTATTGAATGTTTGCCATTTTTGTTATTTCTGAGTCCTGTCGGGGAAAGGGGGCAGGTTATAAATTAAAAAATTAAAATTATTATTCTTTAAGACACTCCTCATAGGGATTCATGGTCTCCAGAGCTTTGATCAATTTAATTGTTGTCCTCTGGACACCCAACTTGTCAAGATTGGCTCTTTTTTTTAGCTGTTTCATCACATTGTTGCCCGTGCTCATGTTCAACTTGTTGTCCATGAAGACTCCAAAAAGGATCTTCTACAGAACGAACAAAACCATAATTGGCTCCTCAACAACAGTCTAAGTGCCCTGCCTGCCTCCACCACTTTTCTAATCTTTGTTTTTCTTTGTGATCCTTGCTTCTTGTTCAGGTGCGGAATTCGTTTGCAGATGAGACGAATGAAGTGAAAAAGTCTCTTTTGGGCACCATTGGCACTTTCCAGGTTGGAGACAGGGAATGCACCACAGTTGGTAAGGGATGGGCAAGGATGATCATCCCCTCTTAAGTAGTTAGGAAAATCCATTGTGTAAAAAAAAAATTTGGGCAGGAATATGCCCCCCACCCTCATCCCGGCCAATGGGGCCCTGTGCTTAAGCACACCTAAGCACAATGCTAAATCCAACACTGATGAGAGTTTATATGACTTAACTGTTTGAACCCTGATGTGTGTAAGGAGAAAAGATTGGGAATGCAATATGTAAGGGGAATGCCTGTTTTTGTCCCTTGGTGTCCATGTCAGACATGGCTCAGTACTTTCTCTTCACACACCCTCTACTTCCCACTTACTTACTTAGGCGATCCCTAAGTAGTCCGAGTAGGATTGTCTTCCAAGATGGCTGTCCTGGCGGTGGGTCCGTAGGTGACTGTGGAGCCCTATTCTTGATCTGCATCTTCTCCCGCAGTGAGGGCATTGGTTTCCAGGTGGAAGGTGGTCCCAGTCGGAGTTGGCTTGACACGCCTTCCTCTTGGCACGTTTCTCTCTTTCGCCCTCTTTTCGTGCCTCTTCAAATTCTACAGCACTGCTGGTCACAGCTGACCTCCAGCTGGAAGCGCTCAAGGGCCAGGGCTTCCCAGTTTTCAGTGCCTATGCTAGAATTTTTAAGGTTGGCTTTGAGCCATCTTTAAATCTCTTTTCCTGTTTTCCACTAGGAATGGGTTCAGTTAGCATACATTGTCCATTGAGGCTTGCTAGCCCTCCATAGGAACTCCTCACTTTGTGTGTTTTGGAATTCTAGAAGGAAAACTAAATGTGGCCGTTTCCACCTTGTACCATTTAAATACTGGTTTATTTATTTACTTCGTATCAAAAGCATTGCATACATTAGTATAAAACTGATAAAAATATAAGAAGCTAAATATTGTTTGACCAAAAATGGGTAACAGCAACCGCATTGTCTGTAGCCTCAAACAATTCTTCCTTTGTGCATGAGGCAGGTCATTGTGGTCAAGCATACAGATGCAGAGTTGTTTGTTCTGCTCCACAGTCACACAAGATGGAGGATTCTTCTAGGTAGTGCCATTTTGCCAGGTTGTCTTTTGATCTGCCCACTCCGCTTCTGAGTCTGTTCAGCGACTTCCAAGTTGTCCATTCTTCGTTTGCCCCTGGAGGAAGACCCTCTCTCATCCAGTTGGGATTTCCTGGATTAGCTGCCCAGAGGGATACCCTTGCTGTTGCTGGGGGGATGTTAAGAGGAGTGGTGGTTCTCAACTGGGAAGCCCTGGCCCTTGAGCGTTCCAGCTGGAGGACAGCTGTGACCAACAGTGCTGCAGAATTTGAGGAGGCACGAGTGGAGGGTGAAAGAGAGAAACGTGCCAGGAGGAAGGCGCGTCAAGCCAACCCCGACCGGGACCGCCTTCCACCTGGAAACCAACGCCCTCACTGCGGAAGAAGATGCAGAGCAAGAATAGGGCTCCACAGCCACATACGGACCCACAAGGAAATCCATAATGGAAGACCATCTTACTCGTCCAACGAGGGATCGCCTAAGTAAGTAAGTAAGGTGGTTCTCATGAAGCTTTTCCTTGATTTGAATCTCCTGGGAGGAGGCTGGTAGCCTTGCAGTTAAAGGCTTTCGCAGTGCTCAGCCTTATTTCTCTCACAGTTAGCAACTTCCCGACGCACATGGGGGGGGGGGGGGCATGCTAGCTAGCTTGTAGAGTTTATCAACAGGTTTAGGTTAAATACTAGTTCTCTGTATAGTCAAGAAGATGACTTATTGGGACAAGTGATTTCTCATCATTCTTTTATCTCTATGGGCCTTCTCTCCAACTTTCTCATGGAAGGGAATACTTGTAAGGGTTGGGGGCTGCACACCAGGGAGCGGCGTGAGTTTCTGCTGTTAGCCCCAGCATCTGCCAACCTAGCAGTTCAAAAACATGCAAATGTGAGTAGATCAATAGGCACCACTCTGGCAGAAAGGTAACGCCGCTCCATGCAGTCATGCCAGCCACATGACCTTGGAGGTGTCTTGGACTGCCGGCTCTTTGGCTTAGAAATGGAGATGAGCACCAGCTTCTAGAGTCAGACACGACTGGACTTCATCTCCAGGGAAAACCTTTATCTTTACCTTTTTTGCATGGTCTATAAAAGTTGAACTGCCTTGCGTGCCTCCTCAAACTCACTCTAGCTAACATCCTTAACTCTGAGTGATAGGGTAGGTCACACTTAACAGCAAGCAAATCATGTTTGAAACAAAGTGGTCCACATTAAAGGCACAGAACATAATTTTAAAGAGGGATTTTAAAGGGGGACCATGAGTGGCAGGCTTCCAAGGCTAGTAGGAATGGTGGGGGGCAGCTTGGTTTCACCCTCCCTGATGTCTTTCCTCTCTTTCACAGGCAATGGAACATGGTCAAGAGGTAGTATCCCATCTTTTCATGCTTCTTTGCTAAGAAGAGAGTCTGCAAGACCAGATCAGGTAGGAAGCAGGATCCCTGGAGGGAGGGAAGCGAGTTACCTTGTCCCTTGAATGTTGCCCTGGCTGAACCTCTCTGTCTTCCTTTTCCTTCCATCCAATATGCTCTTTTAAATGTCCGTCACAAATTTCTTTATCGTGTCAGGAGCAAACCAAACAGTTGCATTGCATTTTGTAACAAACAAACAAAGCACAAAGTTTGCAAGCTTGGTAGTTGATTAAATGACCTTTGACCAGTATCTGGCCACTTGGAGTGCCTTTGGTGTTACTATACGAAGGTCCTCCATTGTGCATGTAGCAGGGCTCAGGTTGCATTGCAGCAGGTGGTCAGTGGTTTGCTCTTCTCCACACTCGCATGTCGTGGATTCCACTTTGTAGCCCCATTTCTTGAGGTTGGCTCTGCATCTCGTGGTGCCAGAGCGCAGTCTGTTCAGCGCCTTCCAAGTCGCCCAGTCTTCTGTGTGCCCAGGGGGGAGTCTCTCATTTGGTATCAGCCATTGGTTGAGGTTCTGGGTTTCAGCCTGCCACTTTTGGACTCTCGCTTGCTGAGGTGTTCCATCGAGCGTCTCTGTAGATCTTAGAAAACTATTTCTTGATTTAAGTCGTTGACGTGCTGGCTGTTACCCAAACAGGGGATGAGCTGGAGATGTCACTGTCTTGGTTCTTTCACTATTAGCTGCTACTTCCCGGTGGATGTCAGGTGGTGCAATACCGGCTGAATAGTGCAATTTCTCCAGTGGTGTAGGGTGCACACACCCCATGACACTTCGTCACAAATGGTCTGGTTTTCCTTTCTGGTTGGGGTTGCATTTCCTCCTCAGTAATAACACTTTTTGTCTTCAGGTATGTATGAGTGTGTGTAGCTATCTTCTATCTACATCTTACACATCATAAAAGTGAAAAATGTGTATGTGGCAGAGGTGTCCACTTACACAGATAGCCTCTGGCCTCCACAAACAGGCTAAGTGTTGAGAAGCCTCCAACTGACATTGCAGGTTAGAGCGAGCACCATGGACATATGTACCCCAAACACTGCCAATATCCTCCCCAAACACTATGGCCCGCCACCCAAGGAATGCTTTCATTTGGGGACAGTTTCATCTAGATTTGATGTTTTTCCTCCACTACAGGCAGGCATCCCATGGTTCCTTGTGTAGAATTTGCATGACCCTGCCCATTTCTTCTCCCTTAACCCTTTCATATCCTTTGCTATGGCACACAGCAAACACAGAGGAATTGATTAGCAACTGAATAGACTGCAGGGATCCATCAATGGATCAGGACCAAAGGTGGCACAGAGAAGCCCCATCACCAACTGAACATATTGCAGGAGTTTGGGGGATATGACCTTGATTTTGGGAGGTGTCATTCCCCTGCATCCCGAAAGCACTCAACCCAGCTGACAATGGATCTGGACCACACAGACCCAACATGGCCGACTGTAAATACTGGCTGGTTTGGGGGGTGATTGCCCTCGGAATCTGGGAGTTGTATTTCGCCTTTTCCAGAGAGCACTCAACCCAGCCAACAACAGATCTGGAGCTAACTTGGCACACAGACCCAACATGGCCAACTGTGCATACAGGCCTGGTTTAGGGATTTTGCCCCATTCTTTATTTCCTCCTTTACCTTCTACTGTTTTTTGGTCAACTCTGTCTTTCTCCTAATATTTCCTTCATCCCATTTAATAATTTTCAGTAGTCTTTTGCAATCCCATTGCATATAGACAAAGCTTCCAATTCAGCACAATTTTGATGTGTTTTTTTTGTCTCCAGGTGACTTTTGAAGATGTGTCTGTGGGTTTCACAGAGGAGGAATGGGCCCTCTTGGATCCTGGCCAAAGAGCCTTGCACCAGCAAGTTATGGAGGAGAATTTAGGGATGGTGTCCTCTCTGGGTAAAGCTCCCTTATACTTGTGGTTAACCCCCAAATCATCTATTGTTTCAGGTCTTTTCATCAGAATCTGTAGAAATCAGTCTCAAATAAACAAACACATAGTGGCTTTACACACAGCAGCCTTCACACTGGAGCTTCCTCACACGAGGCTTCCCTCACACTGAGGTTTACCGCATACTCCTTAAGGACGACACTAGCTTTGGCCCACTGACTCTCACAGGCTTTGGCCTAGTAACTCTTTCAGTGCTTGACTCATACTTCTGTAATCAAAAATACAGTTAATTTTTAATATTTCTGACATGCTTGGGCTATATTTCCACCATCCCTGGTTCAGAAATTATTTATTTTGAAACTTTCATCTTGGTATAGTTTTTGAAGCAAAGACAAAACAGATGTTTTCTGTAATGAACAGCCAGTATGAGAAAAGGGTTATATTGACTAAATGCATATTGTAATTTGTATAATTTGCAATGATTCAAGGAAAATTTTAATCTAATACATGTTTTTCTTTTACTTCCCTTCTTCTCAAACCATGTAAATAGAAGCGACACCATTTACATGTTGGGAAAATAGAAAGACTTTCAGTTGGGAGGAAAAGTTCACCTTCCACCAAGCAATTCACACAGGAGAGAAATCTTTTGAATACATGTCTGGAGGGAGCTTCATTCCGAAGGAAAACTTTAGTAGTCAGGAAACCTATCACACTAGGGAAACGCTGTTTATATGCTCAGAATGTGGAAAGACCTTCTCTCAAAACGAAAACTTTATGTGGAATCAGGCAACACAAGCAGGCGTGGAATCATTCAAATGCTCTGAGTGTGCAAAAGCTTTCATTCAGAAGAGAAACCTCACTGCCAATCAAGCAGTTCCCACAGAGGATAAACCGTTTAAATGCTTAGAGTGCGGAAAGAGCTTCCGTCACAAAAGGAATCTGATTCCTCATCAGGAAGCTCATACAAGAGAAAGACCATTTCAGTGCTTGGAGTGTGGAAAGACTTTCACTCAGAAGACAGGCCTCACCTATCACCTAGCGATTCATTCTGGAGAGAAGCCATATAAATGCCTGGAGTGTGGAAAGGGCTTCATTCAGAAGACAGCCCTTACCTATCATCAAGCTACTCATACTGGGGAGAAGCCATATAGATGCTTGGTGTGTGGAAAGTCTTTTATTCGGAAGGGAAATCTCACTACTCATCAAACAATTCACTCGGGGGAGAAGCCCTATCAATGCTTGGTGTGCGGAAAGAGCTTCCGGCAAAAGGGATGCTTTGCCTCTCACCTGACCATTCACACAGGGAAGAAGCCCTTTAAATGCTTGGAGTGTGGAAGCTCCTTTACAGACAAAAGATGCCTCATTGCTCATCAAGCAACACACTCTGGGGAGAAGCCATTCAAATGCTTGGATTGTGGAAAGGGCTTCGCTCGGAAGGCAAACCTCACAGAACATCAAAGAATCCACACTGGGGAAACACCATTTCAATGCCTGGAGTGTGGAAGAAGTTTCAAACTGAAGAGAACCCTCCATCTTCATCAGGAGACACACACGGGGGAAAGAACCTATTAAGTGCCCGGTGTGCGGAAAGAGCTTTTGCCAGAAGAAACACCTCCCTTCTTTTCCCTCATCCAAACCATGAGGAGACTGAACTTCTGCAACAGAGAGAGATGACTTTAAAATAGTATTTCTTTGTTGTGTTTTTTCCAGGAATGACTGGAATTAAAAAAATCTTTCGTTCTGAACAAACTGGCTTTCTTTTGATGAAATATCAAAAAGAGTTACTGAAAATAAGAGAGAAGGACAAAAAAGAGGTTTCAGGCTGGACAAGATTCATGGCCAGGAATATGAAGTACGAGGGTTATCCAGAAAGTAAGGTTGCAAAGTTTTTTAAAAATACAAAGAATATATTTTAATAAAACTTGTACAGATTATAGCATAGGTATTACATTCTATTTCCACATAATCACCATTCAGTTCAATACATTTTGTCATCCGTGCAATGGGTTTTTTGATTCCTGTGTCATAGACTCTCCCGTTTCCTTTTTCAGTCAGTTCATCACTTCGATTGTCACCTTGGCATCATCAGAAAAGTGTTTTCCACCCAGGTATTCCTTCAATTTAGTGAAGAGATAATAGTCACCGGGTTGTGGACTGGGTTGTGGTGCGTGAACTGGACTGTGGCACAGCTGATTGGGAGTCAATTGCATTAAAATCACCACTGACTGAAGGGTCATGAGTTCGAAGCCAGCCTGGGTTGGAATAAGCTCCCAACCATTTGTGTAGCTTGCTGTCGACCTTTGCAGCCTCAAAGACAGTTGCATCTGTCAAGTAGGAAATTTAGGTACCGCTTTATACGGGGAGGTTAATTTAACTAATTTATGACTCCATAAAAAATCTCCCTCAGTATGCAAAAGAATGGGGAAGTGGACGGAATTTAATCATACCCTCATGAAGCTGGAAAGTTAAATAGCCTCTGTGTGTCTGTCTATATGTGTTGTGTGAATGTTTGCCATGTATGTGTGCATTGTAATCTGCCCTGAGTCCCCTGCAGGGTGAGATGGGTGGAATATGAATACTGTAAATAAATAAATAAATAGTCACTGGATGCAAGATTGGGGCCGTGAGAGGGGTGGCTTCAAAAATCCCAACCAAATGAAGTCAACAACTCTTGTGTTGCTTGAGCAGTGTGTGGATGCACATTGTCATGAAGGAGACAGACCCCTACTGTCAGCATTCCACGTTTGTTTTGGATGGCTCTTTGAAGTTTCTTCATGGTCTCACAATACCTTGCAGCATTGTTTCACCTCTTTCCAAAAAATCAACGAGCAGAATCCCTTTTCTGTCCGAAAACACTCACGCCACAATTTTTCTTGCAATGAATCGCAGCGGCATTCGAGCCCTTAGCATTTAGGTAGCGTATTACATCGTGAGCTTCGCACTTGGTGTGAAATTGAATGAGGACGCTCATCTCTAACCTTCACCACAATGCCAGTCGATGAACTACGGACGACTGGCACTGTTCATTCGCTTCCACTGGCTTTTGGCTGCAGCGTGAAAATTCCCCGTGAGAGCTACGTGCCTTGTAACCTTACTTTCTGGATAACCCTCGTATATGTTGGGACGCAACCTTTTCTCTCCACAATGGAAACCCAAAGCAGGTGTTCTCTTTGCTCTTCTTCAATGAGCATGGAAAGATGTCTGCTGTGGGCTAGTTGGATAGCTTGGCCCTGCTAACTTTTCTATTTAGTTATGTACTTTGAATAAAGTCTTCTATAACTTGTCAAGCTTGACTCTGCTCCTGAATTGCTTAAGCTTAATCACTCTATTGCTGGCACCAGAAGCTTCTGATTTGCCGAACTGCAATTGCTACAGCTGTTGCTGCTGATTTACCTTTTTAAAATGCCTTCTCCTTTTGGAAAATTTCTCCAACATCCTAAAGTGGGTGAAATATTTATATATCTAAAACAAATTATATATTTTGTTTGTAACAAAAATACTTTCAGTTGTTTTTTTGGCAGGAGGAAAATATGATACAGAAATAACAAATTTAGCTTGAAGGAGAGATAATGGAAATATGTTTGAATGGTTTTAACTGAATCTTTTAATACTATTTACATTTAATTCTGCTTTCATATTTGTATATTTTAAATGGTGTGCTAATGTTTTTATGTTAAGTCGCTCTGAGTCCCCTTCGGGGGAGATAAAGCAGGGTATAAATAATATTATGATAATAACAATAAATTATAAAGTGTGCTGAAGCATTCCTTACTGATTCCTCCATTTCAATTTCCCATTTTCTTCCTTTCTGTCTTTAGAGACCACACCCATCCTATTCATAGAATCCTAGAGTTGGAAGAGACCTCATGGGCCATCCAGTCCAACCCCATTCTGCCAAGAAGCAGGAATATTGCATTCAAAGCACCCCTAACAGATGGCCATCCAGCCTCTGTTTAAAAGCTTCCAAAGAAGGAGCCTCCACCACACTCCGGGGCAGAGAGTTCCACTGCTGAACGGCTCTCACAGTCAGGAAGTTCTTTCATGTTCAGATGGAATCTCCTCTCTTGTAGGAAGGAAGGGTGGAAGTGCAAGTGTGACTAGTGGGGAAGAGGGAGAGGGGAAGGAGTGGAGGAAGAGAAAGGGAGGAATCGTGTGAGTGGAGGGGGCGAGAGAAAAGGAGAAGAGAAGTAGATGAGGATATGGGCTCAGAAACAGAAGAAGGAAGGGGGTGCTGGAATACATCAAGCAAACCATTAGATGGAAGAAGGAGGAGAGAGGAGGAAAGGGGAGGAAGGGGAGAGGGAGAAGAAGAGGAGAAGGAGGGGAGAGGAGGGAGAAGAAGAAGAAGAAGAGGAAGAAGAAGAGGGGAGGGGGA